AAAAGTTTACACTGATAAATTATGGAAACTTTGATGATATAGGAATTGTTATTGATAATTTAAATATTTATGAATTTGTACTGAGAAATAATAAAAGAAACAGTTTTTGGTGTTACTGAGTTTAGAACTTAGGGCGTTGTGCTTGCTAGGCAAGCATTCTAATACTGAAAAAGAAATTTGTTAGAGACAATTTATTCACTCCATTAAAACCAATTGATACATCAGAGAGCAAAGGTCATCACAGACTAGTGCTTGGCATTGGTCCAACTTACTCTTAAATGTGCAATTATTGTGATATAAACAAACACGAACATGATGTGAGGAAAGTGTAAAGGTCATAAATTTCTGTCTCATAAGAAGAAGTCATTAGATATACTACTATAATATTTAAATTGAGTATTTATTGTTATAAACATTTAAACATACATTTTTTTAAATTTTAAGGTTCAGGGAAAGGAGGAAAATTCTGTCATAGAGAGACCTACAGGTGAACACACAGGCTAATTTGATCAGTTTCATATGTAGAAAAATATCTCTGCAAGAGGGAAAAAACAATACTAGCCTTATGAAGCTAGTCTGAAAGTCCTATCTGTCTGTTATTTTATTTCTTACTTTTTAGAGGTATTCCAGATGTTTAAAAATTAGAAGCAGGATATAATACAAAGATCAGAAGAGCTGCTCTTTTATCCATGTGAAGTCATAAATGATCTGACTAAGCCAGTGCTTATGACACATCAATTGAAATGTGGTGAGGTATTCCCAGATGATTGAGTTGTGTGCTATATAGGCAGTAAGGTTCCAAATACATTCCTCTTATTTAATGTTGCCTCTCTAAATTTTAAGTAAATATGAACCTCAATAATCAGTGTTTACTAAATAAAGGAAAAAGTGAAGAGCATGCAGTATTTATAGAAGTCATTCTTACACTTAATTGTAATTTTCCTATTAATTTCTTTCCCAGTTGCATAACATCGCACAAAGGATGACTTAGCATTATGAGAACTTTCAAAGACAAATTTTTGTACTATTAGTACTTTTCGAAAATAATGACTTAATTATAAATATTTTAATCTGAGTTTATTAATGATAGAAAACATAACTTGGTGACATAATTTCAGATCATTACCTGTAATGAATCTGAATTCTTTTCTGACCTACTTAATTTGATAATTATGTACCCTCACCTACTTTCAAATGCACATAAATTTAGCAAGGATTAAATATTCTTGGGTTACTCATGGCTTAGGAGAATTTAGCTCCATAGGTCTCTTAACCTTCTTGCTAGCAAATTAACATTAATTTTCCCAGAAGCACAACAATTTAGAAACCCCAAGGACTTTACTTATTAAAAGGAAGCAGTGCAGTTTTAGAGTTCAGAGGGCAGGCTCTATAGTCTCAATTACCTGCCCTTCTCTAATTAGCTTGTGACCTCAGTTTCCTCATCGGTTAGATCAGGACAGTAATAGTCCTTGTCTCACAGGCCTGCTGTAGGATTACATTAGATATGCATATAAAATGCAGCACAGTACTGAAATAAGAAAGAACCCAATGAATGTTAGCTATTATTCTGTATATTCTGAATAAGGCTGATGGAGAAAATGTAGGCTTCAGAATAGATCAGAACTGGTTTAGAAATTGGCATATGAAATAGACATGACACTTCTTTTGAAGTCAACAATGTATTGACCCAAAGGCCACCTTTGTGTAATAAATACCCTTCAAAGTTCAGAACAGTTTATCCTACCTGGCATTTCGATTGATTAGAATGAATTCATTTAAGAGATGCTCCTTTTTGATGAATGATTGTAGAGCCTGACTGTCTTTATTATGTGTGAACCTCATTTTCTTGAAACCCAGTTATATTATAGATTCAGGACAGGTTTGTCAATTTATTATTCCTTCTAAATTATCCATTAACTAGTTACTTAATTATATTCACTTTGCATTTTTCTTGAAAGCATTAAAAACTGTACTCCTAGTTTGATTCAGGCAACCATATGTCCACAGGATAAGTAAAGCACACCCATAGCTGATGTTTAAGCTAATGAAATTAGAAATGTATTACATATTGAATAGTTCATTTATGCTGTTAGAGTGAAAAAGTTGTAGTTTCCATCTGCACTATAGAAATTAAACATTTGCTTGTGAAAGCTTTTATTTTAATTGGAGCTAATATTAGTTTATTAATAAATGCCTCTAGAGGAGTTAAAATGAAACCATGTTGCAATAATGAAAACTCTTAGTTGTATTTTCCTTAAAATGCCCTAAATCTTTCTCATATTATCTCACATGGCAGTGAAAACAAGGCCTTTGCATTATTTTATGTTTTTTTTTTATGAGGTCTATGTAGGAAAATAATTGGAATTGTGTCACTATTTTAGAAATGTTAATAACAGAAGGTGTTGATAGAATTATTAATATCTTGCATACTTAGAATATTAGAAAACATTTTTGTGTGAGAAGGATTATAAATAAAGTTTTATGAGCAATAAGTCATTATAGCTTTTGAGACTACCTCTAGCTCAACATATTTCCTTAAGGGTTCCCAACTCTCAACTTTCTCAATGAGTTAAAGATTAATTCATTCAGTATGCTTGACTGTTTCTATAAGCTGCATAAAAAATGTTTTTGAAATGTCTTTAACACGAACGAAATCTAAATAGCATTGAAATGCCAGATGAAAATGTAGCATTGTGCCAATATTTTGCTTGACTTTTATATTATGTTCATTTCTTTAATCACTTGATTCACTTATTTATCTACCACATGCAATGGTAGGTACATAGGATACAAACAGGAGATAGTTTCAAGGAACCATTGACAAATGAAAAATGTTGCAGTATGACTCATTCATGAAGCAACTTATTGGGTGTCTGTTCTGTGTTAAATATTTTTGTTCTTTATGGTAAGAGCAGGTTTCATTAGTTAGATTATGCTAAAAACAAGTGTGAAGAATTTGTGAAACTTAAGGCAAGAGAAGGTCTACAGCACACGATTAAGAAATGAAGATGAATAGAAGTGGTGGGGCTAAAAATTGGCCGTTAATTTAGGATATATTTACATGGCAAAACAAATTGCACTTAATAGACATTTGGATATAGAAGGTAAGGAAGAGTCCTTTAGTTGATTAATTCAGTAATGGATTCATGGATTAATGTGTTTCCTTGACATTGGGTCTGGTATAAAAGCCATTTTGGCTGAGTATCTTTCACGTTCCCTATCTCTCACCATATAATGAATGCTTTTTGCCAACTCAGGACTCTGGCAATAAGAAGGCTGTCACCACATGTGGCCCTGTGATGTTGGGCCAGAACCATAAACCAAAATAAGCCGATTTCTTTCTAATCCACCCAGGGTGTAGTACTGTGTTATTTGTAACAGTCAATGGAATAAAACAAACATAGCACAGTAAAATTAGTTTTTCTTGGTAGAAAACAATGTGTTAAGATGTAGAAGTGATGGGTTTGAGGTAGAATTTTGCAATAGGCAGTTGGACACCCAATTCTGGCATTCAAGGAACAACTCTAGATTACAGATACTTTGGATTTCACATCCACATGAATGAGAAATGTGGGTTGGAACTCTTTCTCGTAGGCAAAGTGGTATGAGTTTATTTTCTTTCTGGCTTTGTTATTTCACTCACTGAAAGTGAGTGTGATTTTATGGATTCTTATAATTGAAAAGTATTACCCAATAGAAATTTCTGTGATGATAGCCATACTTTCACTTTTCAAAATGATAGTTTACTGAACACAGGTAAACTACATGTAAACTACAGTAAACTACTCTGCTGAGGACTTGACATGTAATATTTGTGGCTGGAGGAATCAAATTTTTAAATTTCATTTAATACTAATGAGTTTAATTTTCTAAGTCACAATGGCTAGGTGTCAGTTCTTATTGGGCAGGGCACCCAGACAGTGGACAAAGAAGAAGAGAACATGGATACTCCTAGAAGATATGGTGGCTAAGTAGTAGGGTGTAGATGACACATTTTAGTAAGTGAGAGAAAATGGAACTAGATAAAATGAGTGTCCATATACATCGCCAGCATTTCCCCATATCTAGTACATAATATGTAGGATTACAAGAGATAGAGAAACTTGTGGATTTAGGAAAAAATATCATTTGCCTATATCTGTATACTAGTTATAAAACTTCTGTTATCTGACTTTTTTGCTCTGAAAATGAATTGGTTTTTATCCTGCATCTTACATGGGACAGAGTCTTCCTCAATGTCATACAGAATAGTAGTTAAGAATGTTTACATTCTGAATTTTAGCAGCCTGAGTTCAAATCTCTATCCTGCTATATACATATCAGCAGAAAGATTCTGTCAAGGATGCTTGGTTTCTCTTGGTCTTAGTTGTTAACTACTAATCTTAGGTTAATGCTGGGGTTATTCTAAGATTTAAAGCATGTTGAAGAATTAAAAGATCCTCCCTTTTCCCCATCCTTCTTTCTTTTGGCAGTGGTGGGGTTTGAATTAGGGGCCTTGCACTTGTTAGGCAGGCACTCCATCACTTGAGTCAGACTTCCAGCCATTTTTGCTTTTAGTTTTTTTTTTTTTTTTTTTGATAGGGTCTCAGAACCCTATCTCTCAGACTGGCCTCAGACTGAAATTGTTCTAATTACATTTCAGCATAACTGTGAACCCCACACCTGGTTTGGTTGATATGGGCTCTTGCTAATAATTAACCCTCCTGTCCTTGAACTGTGATTCAGTCTCCACCTGCTGAGTAGCTGGGGATTACAGACAAGCACCACAACGTGGCCTTGAGAAAAGATAATTTAAAAAATATTTTTATAAATATGCCTTTGATTGTCATTGATGCCTTATACTTTTCAGAAATCCAAGAAAACCCTGCCAAAATATTTTATATTTCTACACTAGAAGTACTGTCTGTTAATAAAATATTTGTTTATAAAACAATTCAACATTTCCTAGAAACAATAGAATTCACAGAAGACAACCTTACCTTTCTTATTTATTTTAATAGTCATTCCTGAGTTTGTAACACAAGTGAATGTCGCCTTGGAAGCCTTAAGCAAGAACTCATTGAACCTGTTTGATGATAATCAATTCGTAGACATCTCAAAGAAGATCTATGATACTATTCATGACATCAGATGTGCAGTCATGATGATTCGGGTAAGTTCTTTACCTTTCCTCGAATTATTTCAACATTCTTCCCCATCTGGAATGCCTGAAATGATTGTAGAAAATGTTTTATTTCTATACCGTAATGTCAATGCTGAAATCCAATAGAGCTTTGTGTATCTCTAAAGTCAGATCTACTGTCACAAACTATACTTTTACTTATGTATTTGGTTATAACTTAGGCAAATTAGCACATTAACTGTACCATGTGCAGAAATGACAAGTTTCCTGTGTGCAGGTGTCATGGCATGATCAGAAGCCAAAGAAAAACTCATAAAGGAACCTGCTTCTTTTCTCTGGCAAGTAGCAAGGATCTTTCTTAACACTGTACTGGAACTGATATGAAAATGTCTTAAGCAAGGTATTTCTATGTCCACACCTTCTCATTCTGGATCATAAAATCACAGAGTTTTCTGAAATAAATCTTACTTAGAGCTGTAGGAACAACAAGTGCTTGAACTGTCCTAGAATGGGAGTTGTATATTTAAGGAAAGATAAGTACATTCTCAGAGGGTGTGAATGCACCATTTGTTCTGGGTACTCTGTATGTAGAGAGACAAAAATTATTTGTTTTTATTTGACTTTTAATGTATTTTTAGCTGTTACTTAAAAAAAGGCAACTTATTTAGAAAACCCCTATGTAAAACTATGTAGCTGCCTTATTTTGGGATGTGTTCATCTGGAGGCAGACCTTGCGGTAATGATTTCTATCATCAGTAGTCCACTTAGGAGCAAGTGAGACAGAGAAAGTGAAGCTAACAAGTTGTAATTATGAGTCAGTGCAGGTGACCAGGTCTTGATCCTGCTGGTAAACTCTTGGAGGCAGAACACACCTCAGAATTTTTTCACCTGAGGTGAACAAAATCTGAAGACATGCCTCCATATCCATCTTTGGTTGAGCTGTTACTTAGGCCTTCTGCTCAGAGCCACCTAAGCTTTTGTGGCCAAAGAAAGCAACCCTCAGGGAAGGTAGAGATGCCTGCCATGGGAATATTCAGTAGAACTGGTGCATCTAATTTCTAAGTCTGAATAGAATTTCCTTTGAAAACTTCTGGACTGAACTGTCAGCAAGACTTCAAGCTAGAAATAGTGCCAAGAAGATAGGGGTATGTGTTGGTAGTGTCTAATAGGCTTAAATGTCACAGGCTGCTCTGGGCAGTCTATAAAAATGGAGTCATTTGTGTAATTTGTAAAGAAAAGGACAAGAGAGATCAGTGAGATAAGGGAACCTGGCAGGACAGGTGAGAATTTGAAAGAGAAAGGCTAACAGTGTCAAAATATAGAGTCCAGCTTGGCAAAACCTGAAATTAAACCCAATTATAAATATCAGAGGGAAATCTTAGGATATATACAGATAGTTTCCTACTTATGAAGGTTGGAGTTAAAACGTTTTGTGATTTTGTGAAAATGATACACATGCAGTAGAAACCATTCTTCTACTTTTGAGTTTGATCTTTGGTTGGCTCATGATATTCGGCAGGATAGTGTTTTAAAAGGTGAGGCATCCAGAGGTCTCAGCCAACCATCCAATCATGAAGATAAAAAGTTGATACTTTAGAGTGTACTGTGTGGGTAATTCATGGTGTTCATCATCTTAGGAGTATTAAATGCATTTTTTTTGCTTCAACAATATTTTCAACTTACAATGGTTTTATCAGGACCCATCATTAGGTTGAGGAACATCTGTACTGATGAGCAATCTATACTCTATAGTATTGGTGCCAAACAAGTACTGCATCTGAACAGTAAAGAAAACTTACCAAATATTTCTTTGCTCTTGCAATGCTTTTTGTGCTTTACCTGCATGGACTAGTAAACTAGTAATAACCCAAAACTGGGAAGGAGAGCAGAAGTAAAGATGCAAGGAAGATCTATGAACTTCAAGAAACTGTCTTGCCATGATGAAATACTATATTCCCACTATCTCTGTATGAATATTGAGAAGAAAAGCCAATGAAATTGCACATAAAAGCCAGGGTAGAGGATGAGCATTTTCCTGTTAAAGCTCTCTAATGATGAAAAACATCTTATAACTTACTTTTGTTAAATGATCCAGTATTTAATATTTTTTCTTATTATCAAGAGGCTTGTGTATAGCAAATCAAATTATCTTGCCATTAGTTTTACATATTTTTCACATACCACCATCTTCTGTGGAGCAGAAGAACACTTTATTATAATTATTTATAGCCTGCGAGGGTAGTCATTTTTCCCCTATATAGTCATTTCCTTTCCAAGGTAAATACTTCCATTTCTGCTAACTTTTTCTCCTGGGTATAATCTAGTATTTTTTTGTTCTTCATTAGTGCTTATTTAATTTTCAACAAACTTTTCAAATGAGACTAGCAAAAACATTTTCTAATTAGGTTCTGTCTAATGTCAAATAAAACAGAAGACTTGTTCTTATGTGTTATTTCTATTGTTGTTTTAAGTGCTATTAGCTTATTTTTTCCCCATTTCAAACACCAGGATTATTGGATTAGGAACGATTTAATATTTTTTATTATTCTTATCCTTCATTTGCTTATGTGTTTATTCTCCATTTTTATCTGATGTGACTGGCTCTAAATTCTAATTCTATTAAGCTTTATGTCTTTCCCTTTTTTTTTTTTTTTTTTTTGCTGTTTTGTTTTGTTTAGCAGTACTGGAGTTTGAACTCAGGAATTTGGGGCCTTGCGCTTGCTAGACAGGTGCACTACCACTTGAGTCATAGCCCGAGATGGAGTTATTGTTCAGATAGGGTCTCAGGCTTTTTACCAAGGCTGACCCCAGACTGCAGCCCTCCCTACGCATGCCTTCTGAATATTTGGTATTAGAGATGTGTGCCATCACATCCTGCTTGCTTGTTGAGAGGAGGTCTTGGAGACTTTTTGTTGGGACTGGCCTTGAACTGTAATCCACTGGATCTCTGCCTCAGGAGTAAGTGGGATTGTACACATCATGGGCCACCTTGATCAGCCTCATGTGTTCCTACATGTCTCTTCATAAAATTTGTCTCGTTGCTTTTCCATTTGGTTGTTTGCCATGCCAACTTAGCATCAGTTAAAAACATGAGATGTAGAGTCTAAGTTCCTTCATCTACAGTACCAATTAAAACATTAAAGTATACATTACTGCTCATTTATCCAACTCCCATTCCCTTAGATAACTCTCGTTAAGGATGATAGTGTTAAGAGCATTTAGAATCTGGTGCTACATCCAGCTAATTTGTCTGTAAGCACATAGTTTGAATGACTGTTTTTTGAATTTAAGATAGGCATGTTCTATCTTTAAATATACTTTATGGCCACAAAGATAAAACAGATAAAAGCAGAGCTACTATACTTAAAACAAAGGAGGAAAGGAGGGAGGCCTATCATCTCTGTCTCTACACCCCAGTTCCCTGGATGACCTATGGGAAGTTAATTCTTCAGAGATTTCTTGGAGGATAGAATGAAAATAGAAGTCTGACTTGACTTGCAGGTAATTGAAAAAATCTATTCATTTTTTTCTTCAAGACTACCCTCTATCACAGAACATAAAAAAGTTGATCTGGTATAATCTTCTCTTTACAAGGTCAAATTTAATACTGATCAATACAGTGACTGTATAACTACAAAGCATTCATGCTTTCTTCAAGTTGTCTGAACTGTGTCACTATGAAGGCAATTATTTTTGTAATGATGCAAGCTAAGGAAATATAGTCTGTGCTTTAGAGGTGTTTCTGAATGTTTCAGAATCCCGTTGTATCTGAATTTTCAAGAATGGTCTTCAGGGCCCTAATGACAATAAAATGCCAGCTTAAGATCAGAATCTGTTATTTTATAAAATGCTATTATGTCTGTCTTTACTGTTTATTTTGATCAATTATTATGCTTAGATTGTTTTGTAAAGTTCTATAACAAATATGTCTCATTTAATTTTGCTACTCAGTGAATGGACAGATAAGTTTACAGAATCTTATAGTTAACAATCTTAGAGTGTATGAGGAAAAGTTTGGCCTATTTGAATTCAATAACTATGTGCAAATTTTTTTGGTAGAATTTAAACTGTTTATTTAAGAACTTCAGGTAAAACTATACACCTAGACAATCCTAAGTACAATTTGTATTATGAAGCATTACTGCTTTCTTTGTCTACACTTCGTTTTCAGCATAATTAAGTAGAATGTCTTTTTTATTATTTTTTTCTAGGAATTCAATATGACATAATTTATTATAGTATATAGTATAATGTAACCAATCTATTCTTTTTTTTAATTCAGTACACATAATGCAATGGTTAAGACTAAACAAGAATTCTCAACCTCAGTTTCCCCTTTTTAAAGAATTGGTATTAAACCTCCCTCAAAATGTTATACTGACAAAATGAGCTGGTAGAAATGAAGATGCTTAATGAATATCTATCACAAGAATATAGTTACTACTGCTATGGCCTCATATTGCTAAAGCTGTTTATTATTCTTGTATATCTGAAAGAATGTTAACTACAAAAAATATAGAAATATGCTTGTGGAGCAACATGACAACAAAAATCAAAGAACACTTGAAGGGAAAGTCCTCAAGAAAGAACTATGTTCTTTTACAAGGTATGATTTATATGAGGATTCTGTGTTTATTAGCATCAGGTATTTCAGTATAGATTATTTAGTACAAGTTGTTCTTTTGAAGCCATATTAGTTTAAGCTAGCATTATAATTCTGCATGTGATTTTCATTAACCTTTTGATTTTTATTAACCTCCTTAAAAGGAGGACTGAAGTCTCAACATTCATCTTTTTTTTGATAGAAGGTATTTAACCATAAATGGAGGAAACTGTAAAGGGTGACATCATTGTCTTGTGAGAGTAACATGGGTGGTTTTCAGTGAAATATGCTCAAAGAGGAGCAAGATCTAGTAAAATTAATCTGATAATAGCTACTCAGATTGTAGACTATTTTTTGCTGATGCCTCATCAAAAGCGCATAGAAAATATGATATTGTATAATATCAAAAGACATGATGAGTTCAAAT